CCTCAGCAAGAAATGATACATAGTAATGAGTGAACAAGGAACATGTTTGAACTAACAAACGCACTCTGACAAGCTCTGTGGGGCTTTTTTATTGTTTTATTTTTATTGTATTTCATTTTCTGTCTGCTTGCAAATGCTTGACTGACAGGCTTAGAGGCTGGCATCTATCACTTCTCTTCAAAACAAATAGGGAATGGACATGAACACTTTTCTACATCAACCCAGAGGGAACACAGTTTCCTAAAAATAAAAGCATTTCCCTCACACCTCTTGCCACATCCTATCCAACTCCTTCTCTTTTGCCAAGAGAAGCATCAATGGAAATGAAGCTCTGTTGATGTGTTTGATTTTCCTGAGGATATTCTCAACTGTTGATAAGAAACTGGACGGACTTATTCTCACCACGTACTCACTTGCCAACAGTTAGCAAAGCAGCATCAGCTCTCATGCTCTGATGACCATATATTACTGGAGAAAAAATGTTCACCTCCTCATATCAGTCAAGATAATGTCCGAGTTCTGCATAAATACAAAAAGAAAGAAGTGGAAACCTCTGGAAATACCCCAGGCAGCAAGGGGGAACGTTTTTGCAACTTACTGTGTCTTTTGCCCAAAACAAGGGAATGAACACATTGAACAATTTATTCTCCCAGTTCCCTCTGAGATGTAGGATGAGGCTTTCAGCCTCATTTTGTAAGTAATTCACTTAAGCCCAGGACACACAAGGAGCTGACGGCAGAGTTGACACTTTGATGATTTCCAAGCACCCTTCCACTGGAAGATTCTCCATGGCTGCATGGGCATCTGCAACTGATGGTCTCCAGTTTGCAATGTCTGTCCATCCAGTAGCAATTGATCATACTCATAGAATGGCCTAGGCTGGAAGGGACTTTAGAGATCATTTTAATCCAGCCTCCCTGTTGCCCGGGACGCCACCTCTCGACTAGATCAGGCAACATATGGGGACCGAACGGGAATCGAACCCATGACCTTGGCATTGTTAGCGCCAAGCTCAACTGACTGAGCTAACCAACCCCTAAATTAAATTGCCTTTCAGTCAGACCTACCTTGTATTCATTTGATCCGAATGACTGACTTCCTGACTACTAAGTAATTTGGTAACTGCAATTATCTGTATAAAATGATGGAAATCTGCTGGTTTTCAGGGCTGAGAGGTGATGTGGTTAGTCCTAGCAGGGTCAGGTATGGGCAACTGCTCACCTCCATGGACTGAGCTCTTATTCCTTCTGCTCTTCCTGTGGGGTCAGAGAGAAAAAAGGCTGTAGAGGAGTCAGGATAGATGATGTGAACCTTACTGGGACAACTGTTCCCAATACCAAGAGCAAACCCTGCTCTCCAAATCTGCTCTTTCCGTGGTATATTTCTGTCTTGGCTATTCCCCATTCCTCATGGTGGGACAATGTCCACTGCTGTGTTAGCAGCCTGGGAAGCACAGGAGCAGGATGAGAGAATGCTACAAGAAAGGAAAGAGGTTTGTGGAGGAGATAGGCTGACCTAGTGGTGACTCCAAGGAATTGATGGTGAGGTTCATCATATCTTCCTTTCTCATCATTTCTGGCGAAGCTGTCTGCATGGGGAGGATCACTGGAGGCTTTCTGAATCAATATGGCATTTATCATCTTTTTTTATAGGTCTTTCCAGTCACCAGATGAAATTCCGAAGTTCTCTATTCAATGGTTATCCATTTCTTCTCAAAGTTTTATCTCTTTCCATTTTTCACATGGCCAGAGGTGCCAATGAAAGGCACAGGATGCTAAATTATATATATTTGCTATGACAGAGCTTGTGCCAGCACTGAGCACTGACAATGTACATTACAGTTCAGCTCATGTATTTCTGATGGCACATTTTACAGTGCTATATATAAAGCTGTTATGGCATCTATTATTCACTGCCAATACAGTTCAAGTTAAAATAGGTTTTATATAACAGTTCAAAGCAATATTTTAAGAAATAGCACTTGTGTCAAGGCTGCTGTGTCCTACCAGATTTTGACATTTCCAAGCAATAAAGATCTTTATCCAAAATGTAAGGTTTTGGCGAGACATCTCTTTTGCAGACTTCTCTATTTTTAATCCACAAGCAATAGCAAAAGAAGCACATTTAAATAAAATGAACAGCCAGCCTGAACTTTTGACATGGCTCTTATCTTCCTAGGTGGAAACTGTGAACGCTGAAAAGAGCCTCAAGGGATGTTCATGACCGAGAACAATGTCCCATTAACCTGAACCTCTGAAGAGACTGTGGAGATGCGGAAAACGAACGAGTGGGAA